CTGTTTCACGCCTGTCACGTCCGTCCGCGCTTGAGGAGCAGGGACCTCCTCTCCTGCCCAGATGCGCCAGCTGGGACCTGGCAGGGCCGGGCGGGTTAAGGCCAAACTGTTCACCAATGTCACCGCGGGACTAGAACTCAGGCCTCTGCCTTCCCGTCACAGCCCGTGCCCTGGGACAGGGACTCCCATGGAGGGCAGCCTCCACTTAGCCACCAAGCCTTCCTTGGGTCTCTTCGGTGTGCAGGCTCAGGTGAGACCCGGGTGGGTCCTTCTCTGTTGGCGCTCAGTCCACAGGGAGCCAAGTGGGTAGGTGGATCGTTTTCCTCCAAGACCCAAAGAATATGGTACTTCAACTGGTGCCCGGGTGGCCTGGGCTAGCGTACCCCGTGCCCGGGGCCATCCTTGCCCTGCGGGCGGGGGAGCCACGCTTGCCTGGCTCTCCCTCCCCTCCCGGAAGCCGCTGTGCGATGCCCCCGCCCCCCCAGAACGTGCGGCGGCCCCTGGTCCCCCAGCTCCCCTGAGCGCTGTGACTGCCCGCCGGACCAGGGCCTTCCCTGAGAGGGGCCCGGTGGCCAGGGAGGCCTGCCGCTCTGCGTGTCCCCACCGGCCAGGCCCCAGCTGCCCCCACGGGAGGGCTGCCTCCTCCGTCCAGGCAGAGACGCGTCTGCTTTCTTTCCTCGCGCTGGAAATGCACTTGGACTTTTTTTTTAAAAAACAAATAACACAATTTTCCCTTTGTGTTTCCCTTAATAAAACACAGGAATGAAAGCAAGAAGGGAAAGTAAAACAACATGTTGCTGTCATCTCCACTCTGCGGTGGGACGTCCCTCTCTCCGCCCCCCCCCCACGCTCCCCCCGACATCCCAGCCACAGAGAGTCGCGGGCCTCCTGGTGCTGCTTCGTGTCCCGGCCCCGGCAGGGGCAGCTCCGAGGCCGGCCTGGGCATCTCGCCCCATCTGCCGCGACCGCACTCGATTGAGGACGGACAATGGGAGGGCGCCTCCTCCCGGAGGAGGGTGCCGCAGGCCGCAAGGCCCGCACAGCTTCTTGGGACCCCGCAGTCACCCCTTGCGCGTTGGCCCCAGCCTCTTGTCCAGCGAGGACGCCTCCCGGGCCAGCCTGGCAAGGACCCCGTGTCTCCTGCTCCAAGCAGAGCGCTCGGCTTAAGGCCTAGACCCTGGACGCCTTGGAATCTGCTTGAGGTTGAGGGACTCCCAGCCTTTGGATCGGCCGCCGGTCTCTCAGCGAGGAGGAGTACAAGTTTCCGCACGTGGGGCCAAATGCCAATTGCCCCCGGTGGGAAAGGGCGCGGGGTTCAGGAGTAACACCTGCAGCATGTCACCAGCAGCCACGCCAGTGGGAGTCCAGGCCATGGACACGCCGTTGCTGGAAGGTGCACGGGTCCGGGGCCACGGTGTGTAAGCGACAGGAAGCCGAGCGCAGGCAGGTTCCAAGGACGGAGAACAGGACAGAGCCGGCAGCGTTGCTCCCGTCTGAGGGGCCTCGGAAGGAGCGGCTGACGCGGCCCATGGCCGGCCCCGAAATTCAATGGGCCGGAGGTGGACGCCTGAGAAAGGGAATTTTGACCTCATTTAAGCCCACGTTGGAGCCGATGGGCGTCCAGGTTACGTTTAACTCTACACACCCAGCGTTTTGGGGGTGGTGTTCGGCTCGCTTCCGCACGTCCTCGGGACTCCTTTCTGCGGAAGGGGAGACCGTGGCCCGCCGTTCGCCCAGCGCCGCTGGACAGGGCCTCTGTGACGTGCTCTTTCATTGAAAAGGTGAAATGGCAGTGTTTGAGTTTGCAGTGGAAACCGGAGGCCTAATCAGGAGGGTGTTCTGTGGCTGGGACGCGCCTGTCCACCCGTCCACAGCCCAGAGCCAGGCGGGGATGGTCCTGAGTGTCCCTAATACCCCGGGAGAGGCCAAATAAACCACAGAAGAGAGAACCCCAGCTACGCAAGGTGTCTCTTTATTGCTCCAGGCACATCACTTAGACGTGTCAGCCGGCCCGTGCCAGGACAGGTTCTGCAAAGCACCTGTCAAGGACCGGGCGGTTCTGCTGCCCCGGCCCCCGCTCCCTGACTCCTCTGTCCCCAGCCTGTCCGATTTCATAAACTTCCGACAGTGAGGGCCTTTCGGACCGTGGCTCCTGGCCCCTTCGTTTCAGGCACGGAAGGATTGGTGCCCTGGCCCCGCCGTGGCCCCTCGCACTCCGGAGCGGGGCAGGGGCCGGAACCAAGGCTCATCCTGGGACGCTGGGCCCCCGCGCTTGCGCCTTCAGGGCAGACCCCACGGCAGCCCAGCACGTGGCGTTTGTCCATCCCGCCCGCGGGCCCGGCTCTGCGCCCTGGGGCTGGCGCCTGACAAAGGGACACAGTCTCCCTCCTGAAGGTGCCCAAGGGCCCCCAGCAGGGCAAAGGCATCCCCAGCAAACCCTCGCGCGACTCTGCAAGGAACATCCTCCCGCTCGGGCGATGCATTTCCTGTGTTCAAGGCCTTTGGTGACACCCAGGCTCTGCTAGGCATTCCAGAGGGTTCCTGGAGATGGTGCCGGCCCTGCTCCGTTTTCTTGTCTAACTTCTAGCTTATACACTACCCCTGAGAGCGCTTTTAATCCATAGTTTTTTCCCTACTCTTTTTGGGGTGGCAGAAAGCACAGAAGACAGGTGTTGGGAGACATGCCACTCGCCATCTGGGCCACCTCAGAGCACGCCCGCCCCCAGCCCTGCTCAGCCCCAGGGGCTCACGGAAGAGATGGCTAAACCGACTTGTTCTGCCTCCCTCAGAGGTGCCTTGTAAAGACCAAGCACCATCATGCGCGTGAAAGGACCAGACAGGCAGGAAGCAGTGCTCCCCTGCGAGGTGCTGCAGGCTTCGCCCTTCCCCACGGCTTCCCCACGGCTTCCCCACGGCTCCCCCGAGGGCCCGCGCAGTGCTCGGCTTGTGCCTGCTGGCCCGGCCCCTTGCACCCGCGCGTGGGGTCACCGCCCCTGAGCCCGCCGGAGCAAGGGCTGCCCGCAACTTTCTCTAAAAAATAAGGACGTGATCTTGTCCTCCGAGAAGGCTGCTATGGGGCACCTTGCCTGCTCAGGCACCGTGTGCCTCGGTGCCAGGCGATTCTGATTCGGTCTCCTCTGGACCCGCCACCGGAGCCCGGGGAGAATCCGTGTGCCCTGGGACGCCCCGGGGCACTCGGGGCGCCCCCAGCCCCGCTCCCCTAGCACCCGTGAGTATTGGGATAATCACTGTCTCTGCCTCACAGGCTTGTTGCAAAGATTAAATGAGTGAACCAGGCCTGGCACAAAGTCAATGCTGGAGAGGTGTCAGCTGGCCTTACGGTTTATTGAGGGGCCACGTGGGGCCAGGCACCGAGCTAGCCTCCTGTATACACAGCGGATGAAGACCCCGTTCCTGCTCCTGGGGGGCGGGGCTAAAAGTCTAGCACTGCCGGCCGAGGGTAGGGGTGCCGCACTGACATTTTCCCCAGACGCTGTGGCCCCCTCAGCGGCCCCCTTGAGCTCCGTCGATGCCGCCCCTGCGTCTGGGGTCAGACCCTGCCAGGTCTGCAGCAGGAGCCTGATCCACGCATCGCGGGGTCCCCTGGCCTCTGCACACCCCAGCGAGGAGCGGGTAGAGAGCCCAACTTGGGAACTCCAGGGAGCCTCTTGGTGACCTGGCGGGGTTTGGAGAGCTCGTAGGTGCAGGGGCCGCGACCACGCGCCGCCAGCGGCCTCTGCGCACGCCCCGTGGCCGGGTGAGGGCTGCCCAGCTTTCTCCCTCGCAGCGGCGTACGGGCGCCGCGGTCCGGGAGGCTCTGGGAGCTCGGTGCAGGCCCGCGCGCCCTGAGGTGGCGGTTACACGTGCAGGGAGGAAACTTGGCGCGCCCCGGAGGTCGCCGCGGCCGAGGGGCGCGCCCGGCGGGGGCCGCGCAGCCGGCTCGGAACGGGAGCGCGGCGGCCCCTCCGCGGGACGCGCTCCAGCCCCCTCCCCGAGCTCCCCACCCATCCCTGCGCCGCGCACGCAGCCGTCGCCCGGCCGAGCGGCCGGATTCGCCCCGGCCGACAGGGCCCGACTCGCACCCAGGACCAGGGCTGCCGCCGTCCCTCTCCGCTTCCGAGAAGCGTCGGCCCTCCGCTCGCCCCGAGGAGCGACCGGGGGCGGGCAGGACGTCCCGAGAAGGCCGGCGCCCGCGGCCACGTCCCGGCCCGGCCCGCGCGCCAAGGAGCGGGCTCCCTCCCGGGTGCGCCGGGCCGGGCGGGCGCTCCCTGCAGCCTCGAGGGCCTTTGCCTCCCGGGCCCGCAGCTGGTCCCGCTCCGGCCGCGCGGAGAGCTCGCCCGTCAGGTAAGGGAGGCGGCCCGCGCTGGGCTCCGGCTCGGGCCGGCGTTTCTGAAAGTTGATTTGAAATGCAGCCAAGAGTGCGCAGGGCCGCGCGGCTCCGCCCCGAGGCGACTCCTCTGCTCCCGCAGACGTTCCCGGCACCGGCGGGCGGCAGGAGGACGGGTCCGGACCTCCTGCGCTGCCCGCTGCGCCGGGGCAGGTGAGGGGCGTGCAGGGTCGGCCGGGCGCGGGCTGCGGAGCTGGCGGTCCCGCGTGCCGGGGCCTTTCGCCCCATCCCACCCGGGAGCTGGGTTCCGGCCGGGACGTCCCCAGGGCCCACCGCAGTGGAGGCTGGGCGGAGTCGGCCGGCTCGGGAGCCCTGGGCTGGGCCGGGGTGGGGACGTGGGGGCAGGGGAGGAGAAGCGCAGTTGGGGGGTGGAGGCCTAAGTACATAACGCGTTGACTTCGAGTGAAGTCAGATCAGTTGGAGCAGCTCGCGGTGACTCGTCTCTCCGCCCACCCCACGTTCCCCTTGGCTGGCCTCTACCCTGCGGCTCATTCTGGTCACCCTGGCCACTCCCTCCAGCCTTTCCCAGGAGTGCGGCGGCCCCGTCCCGGAGGGCACGACGCCAGACGCGTCGTTTCCTCTCCTCCGCAGGTCCTCGCGGCCCGGCGCGAACATGCTGGACGGGCTGAAGATGGAGGAAAACTTCCAAAGCGCCATCGAGACCTCGGCCTCCTTCTCGTCGCTTCTGGGTGAGTCCTCCCGCCGCGCGGCCCCCGGCGCCCCGGCCCTCAGGTCCGGATCCGGAGCCCGGCTCCCTGGGACGCGCTGGGCAACAGGGGAGCTGGCGCCCCGCGTCCTGCACTCCTCTGAGCCCCCGTCTGTCGCCGGTTCCTCGGTCCCTCCTACCCCAAACCGACCCGCTGACCCGGCCTCCCGCGCGCGCGGGACATCGAATTCCCCAAAGCCGCTGGGGCTGGGCGAGCAGGCTCGCAGACGACCGATTTGCAAGTGATTAAAAACACCCAAGGCTGGATTTTTAATTACGGAGCTGATCGACGGCTCTCAAATGCCTTCCCGTCCCGGGCGGCCCGGAGGCCAGCGTCGAGGAGGCTTCTGGCGCCCGCCGACCCCAGCCGCGGTTGCAGGCGAGGGGCTTTTCCGGGCCGGTGGGCAGCGCCGTGCCGGGATTAGCCTGCACGGCGGGGCCCTCGCCTGGGCTTTAATTAACTGGAGCCGGAGCTCCGGCCGGAGGTCCTCCGCCTCCCCAGCCCCTTCGCAGCGACCGCAGGGCAGCGACGCGCCCAGGGCCTCAACAGAATGTCCGCACACGGGACCCCGGAGCCAGGCCAGGACCTCACCCCACCCCGCGTGCCCTTGGGAGCTTTCAAGTTCAGGGAGTGGGTGTTTCGATTGTTTCAACGGGAGGGGCTTTCGTTTTGTCCTTTACTCTCGCCTCTCTGCATGGCTCGGAGCCGCTCGAGCGGAGTGAAGGCGGGGAGGAGACAGTTCGGAGGGAGAAGCCGTATCGAGAGAAGCCCCCCAACTCCCCAAATGACACGCAGTCGCGGGCGCTGCGTTCCCCTCTTCCAGCTGCCCTTCCGGAAACTCCCCGACTCGGCGGCCTGGGACAAGCGCGGGGCCTGGGCTGGCAGCGTTCTGGCGCAGCGCGTGCACGCACCTCCGCTTGAAGCCGGCAGCGGGGCTCGCCCCGGGCACTGCGGGGCAGGTTCCCACCATGAGACGGGGCAGAGAGGGTAGAGAAGGTCCACCTGAGAAGCGTCTCGCGGCTCCTCCGAGCTTCCCTGCCGGTGCCCCACGTCGGTGACCCCCATGCTGGCGAGCCGGTGGCCGGGTCCCCCGAGGGAGTGGCGCTGCGAAGTAGGGAAGAGCCAGGCCCTTCGGGACACCATGCACAAGGCTACTGTGACCGAGGGGCAGGGCCTTCTTTAAAATGCTGTGAAAGGTGCCAGCAAAGGTTGCCCCGCGTCCCCCACTCCCCACAAAGTGCCTCATCCCGCGCGCGCGCGGACAAAACAGAAGCCCTGTGCGGTAGGACCGAAGGAGAGCCCCGTTTGCTGAGTCGGTCTGGGCTCCGTATCGCTCTCCTGCAGCGGAGGCGCCCGCGGGCTTTCCGGAACCCTGGCTGGGGGCAGGGGCGCGCACGGTATCTCCGCGCCCAATGCGCTCCTGTTTTATCTTTCTCTTTATTTGGTTGCCTCTTAATTATGAAAAACCCATCTGCAGTTTGCACACCAGCCGAGATGCCGCGATGTGGGTTCATGGGTTTGAACACGCGGAGTTTGCCTGAGGCGAGATGGCATTTTTCTGTATGCACGGGACGTGTTAGGAAGCCGAGGGGGAAAAACATTTTTTTAAGTCTTCCCGCAAAGACATAAAAATAAAAAAATTCAGAACTTCGTTTTAGCAAAAGACAAACCCAAACAAAACGCTCGTTACACACTCGGTTTTAATAACAGTCCGTAGAGACAAGTGCAGGGAGTGATTTCACGACTGCACGGCAGGCCCCGGAGAGCAGAGTTATTGGAAGTCTAATTTTGCAGGATGCGCGCATACCCGGGTAGGTTTGATAATTAAAGGTTACTCACGGATTTCCTCTCCCTCCTCTGGTGGAATTTAAACCGTCCCCGTTTGTTAGAAGCGCCGCTTGGGTTGATTTTGCGCGGGTCTCCACACCTCGGCCGCCTGGGTCAGCAGGGGGTTCCCCCTGGTGGGGCCGCGCGCTCACCCGCCGGCCTCTGTCGCTGCTGCTGCAGGTAGAGCGGCGAGCCCCAAGGCTGTCTGCGAGGGCTGTCAGCGGGTCATCTCGGACAGGTTTCTGCTGCGGCTCAACGACAGCTTCTGGCACGAACAGTGTGTGCAGTGCGCCTCCTGCAAGGAGCCCCTGGAGACCACCTGCTTCTACCGGGACAAGAAGCTCTACTGCAAGTACGACTACGAGAAGTAAGTGTTCCGCGCTGCCCGGCGCGCCCCCGGGCAGACGATCGCCGGTGCCCTACGGCGCATCGATCCTGGGAGGCGCAAGCGGCACGGGAAGGCCCAGGGACGCGGGCCGCCCTCCTCCGCAACCGGAGCGCTCCTCGGGAGGCGGAGAACTGCGCCGCCCTCGGCCGCCGCCGGCCGCCGCCGGCCCCCCGGGACGCGCGAGCGAGGGTTGCCCTCTGTGGTCTGCTCGCCCGGTTTTCAGCCCTCTGGGGCCACTACCCGGACTTGGGGTGTCCGTCAAGCTTGTTCCCTCCATCCCCTCTTCCCTGGGGTGCCCTGCGGGCTGCCAGTGTCCCCCCTCCCCGCGCCCCCCTCCCCGTCTCCTCGCCGGTTCCCAGCCTGCCTGACCCACCTGTCTGTGCGCCCCCTCCCACCCAGCGCTGAGGCCCGGAGGTGAGGCCCAGCGGTGACGCTGTATGGGGGATCCCAAGGCTTCGGTGCCCCGCGCGCTTCTCTTGCTCGGCTTTGTCCGCTGGGGTTTCTACAGATTGCGCTCAGCAATGGTGTCGTGGCCCCTCTGAGCTCGGGGCGCGCACCCCGTTTGCTCTCACCGTGTGCTCTCCCCCTCCCTTCCCCGTTTCTACAAACCCCAGGGCGCAGGGCTGCCAGGCCGCTAGGCCTCCCGGCCGCCCCGGAGGCCTGACACTGCTCGGCGCTCCCTTGCTCCTCGCTCCCTTGCTCCTCGCTCCCTTGCTCCTCGCTGCTCCTCCGGCGTCTCTTCCCAGACCCCTGGGTGCGCGTTTGGGCCACGCAGCAGAGGGCACTTCCCGGCTGCTGACTGATCACCCCCGTTGCATTGGGAGGAGAATTAGGAGGCAGGTAATTCAGAAAGTGGATTACTGCGACTCTCGACTTCTTTGATATCTAAGGCTTCCGTGAGGCCCGGGAGTGGGGTAGGGTTTCCTGGTTGTCCCCAGGTGGCTAGAGTGGCTCCCAGGAGCTAAGGAGAGGGGACTGCTGTCCAGGTCAAAATGGCTAGTTAACAGGGACACCGACTGAGCAGAGCCACGGAGGGCATAGAAGGACAGGGAAGGGACAGAGTCGGAGGCCTGTGTGTTTTCTGCATTGGGGCCAGTCGGAGTGCCCCATCCGTCTTGGGAGCCCGCCGGGGAGTCCCGCATTTGTCACTAGTGAAGGGACCGGACAGTGCTCCATCGGGGTAATCAAGGGAGGGTCCGTGTGCATGCAAAGCGTTTTCTTCATGTTATTAAAACCACACAATGAAGGGGGGTGGGCAGAAGTCTCCACGCAACCAGAGCGCTCAGGAAAAACACGGACGGATGTTCTCCGTGTGCTGGGTTTAGGTTTGCTAAAACGTGACAGCGCTCTTCGGCCCGTGGCCACGTGGAAAATACTCTGTCTGCTACTCCGTGCTGCTTTGCCGTAATATACTTGAGCTTATGCCACCCGCCCCCCCCCCCCCCGCCACCCCAGTGGATAGAGTACCGGGCATTTTGTAATTTGTTTTGAGATGGTAACTACATTTTCAGCCCTAAAAGAAGAAATACATGTTTGATTTAGGATGAGCTGTACAACGCAGAACAATATAAAGTGCACACGCACGACCGCTTCCCAAAGTGGTAATTATGGTGAGCGTTAAAAAGAAAAAAGAGAGGCCTGTATCTGTCTGCTCTCGGTTGCCTGTTGATTGCCCCGGTGTGTGAGAGCAAGGTGCAGCCGTCAGGCGATCCGGCACGTTCTGCCTGTCGACGCGAGCTCCCGGTTGACGGCTCACGTTCCCTCCTCGCGCCTGCATCCGAAGGTTTGGGGATCTTGCGGACCTTGCGGACCGTCTTTATCTTTCTGCTTAGAGACAATTACGGAAATGCCCACGCCCTTTGGGCAGAACACCAGCTAATTCACCAGGATTGGAGCTTAGGGAAGGATTTGGGTTGTGAATTCCTATTCTGTTGGTTAAAAAAAAGAAAAAATCGCCATCAGAAAAGGCCGGCCGGCCAGTCAGAGCTCTTCTAAGGAGGTCGGGCTGTGTCCAGGGAGGGAACAGTGGCTGTGGGGCCCTCCCCACAACAACGGCCCTGCCGTGGCGGCCCCTCGAGGCCTGGCGGTTTGGGCAGATGAGCCCACTTAGGGTCACGTCTTCCCCCAACAAAGCTGCTTCTGCCGAGGGAAAATTGCAGGGATCGACTCAGCAGCTGTTGGCCAGAGCCGGGAGGATTTGAGAGAGGCCCTGGGTGAGCCGCGCTGCTCGGAAGAGAGGTGGCGGTGCGGCAGGGAGGGCTCCCGTTGTAATTTCCACACACATTTTGGAAATGCAGATGCCCGGACGCGGTGGCTTGGACTCGGTAGCGCGCGGTGCATTCTCAGTGCTTGTCTGCGCCCAGCCCATCGGTGGTGGTGGTGGTGATTTTTTTTTTTTAAGATTCCTTTGATTTCTTTTTCCCCTGCTCCTCAATCTCCCATCCCAAGCCCACGCTTCTTTCAACAAAACAGGGTTTTCTTAGATTTGACCATCTTCATGGTGTGAGTGTGCACAGTGGGAGAGAAAGGAGAACGTTGTTTCTTTGTTTTAAAGTCGGGCTCCAGACAAACTCCTTTATTCTTTGGCATCGGATGGAGCGGCTTCTACACGCAAGGCGCGGGCTGGGGGGCGGGTGAGGACAGAGGGCTCAGCCTGCCTTCAGGGGGCGTGCAGCGGGGCGCCGTCCCCATCCGCGCGATCCTGGCTAGCGAGGATTTCTCGGAAGCCCCTCCACGGAGCTTGGTGGGGGACTTGGTGCTGGACCCGGGCTGTCCGGAATGACCAGGTATTTGCCCCCTACAGGGATGCAATCTAATTTCAGATGATAGCTGTGAAACAGACAGCGCGTTTCCTCTTTGACAAATACGTTTGTGAACAGAAGTTTGCTTTTCTCATTGGATCGCTTTAAAAATGGGAGGCCCAGAGAAGGCAAACAGAGAGGAAACTATGGCAGAGTTTGAAGTGGTCAGACAACGATGGTGGTAGAAGGTAGAGCGCTTATTTCAAAAGGAGCATTCGTGAGTTCCCCAGCGTTCCTGCAATTCAAACGCTGCTTCTCTACGCGAAAATGAAAAAGCAGCTCGCTCGGGTGCGTCTTCGGGGAAGGTCAGAAACAGCGTCCGGACCAGGCAGGTTTATCGCCTTTATTTTAGCCATTTGTGTGTGCGTTTCTGGCTGCTGGGTAGTTTTGCATTTGAATTATTAGCTGCCTGTTCGCAGTGTCAGGCGGCCAGTTAAAAAGTGGAATTTCTGCTCTATCCACTAGTGGCGACACCTTCTCCACGTCAAGCACCGAATTTGTCTAATTAAAAAAAAAATGGGATCAACAGGGGCAGTGTAGGCGCACAGCCATCCGTTTGAAAGCCTCAGGGTGTTTTGTTAAATATTTCTGTCCTACGCTATGACACCCTTAGGAGAAATTTATCTTCTGCTCATCCAAAACAAATAAGCATTTAAGGCTGGAGTGGAGAACACTGATTTATGAACATCCAGAAATGAAGAACTGGACGTGACTTTTATTGTTCGTGACATGTCATCCAAGAAAAATGACTGGCCAGGTGGGGTGCTACGTTTACGGAGCTGAGGAAGGAGGCTGGAGGTGTGGATGCTTAAAAAGCCGGACGCGACTGTCTGCTGCGCTCCTGAAAGTCAGCAGGCAACCAAAATAGTTTCCAGCCGAGGGGACTCCTATTTATGGAACTGTCGGTCCCTCGTTAACCGAGCCCTACGATCTGGTTACATTGGAGTTTTCCCTAAATTTGTTCCCAAGAAATACTGCAGTTGGACTTCGGTCAGAGACAGAAGAGGCTGCTGAGTAACAGGAATGTGGTAATAGAGCAGAGGATGACGCCTTCTGGAAGGGGTCCCGCAGTTAAATCAAGCCGAGGCTGTGTCTTTCACGTGCCTGGCGGCTCGGCGCGGTGGGCAGGGTCTGCTCCCCTCCTGTGGGAGGTTCATCATCGCCCCTCGGTTGCTGAGGACGGCGCGGGGGTGGCCTGGGGCGGTATTGCTGTCACTGGGGCCGCTGTCCTCACATTGTCACTCCCCACATGCCCTTGGGACACGAGCCTCGGGAGGCCTTGGCTGGACGGCCGGGCCACGGTCCCCTCCCCCGGCCCCGACGCGGGGCCCCGTGCGCGTCAGGCCTAGCGCTCCCTCGGTGGCATCCTTTTGTGGACCTGCTGCTTGGCAGCTCCTCGCAGAGGATGGCCGAGCTAAGGGTCTCTATGCGGGCCCGTCACGCACCAACTCTGCGTTTTATCGAGGCTCTGCAGCGCGGGTGTGTAGGGAAGGCAGTGGTTCGCTTTTGTTGCTGGGACGTTACTTGGAGATCCAAAGTGGGCACGCGGGGACTCCTGAGGGGAGCCACAGAGGCCATTGTCCCGTTTTTGCTTGGCTTTGTGCTCTGGCCCTGCTCCTGGCGCAATCAGTGCTAAGGAATATGAATGCCAAACACGGCCAGGTCACGAATGGGTCTGCGTGCAGTTGTGGGGGAGGGGGGCGGGTTAGCTCCGAACATGCAGCGCCGTCCCCAGGCCATGGACGTGCGCGCGCAAAAGAACGCGTCCCTCTCTTTGTATTTAGAGGGAGACTGGAAATGGTCCTCGCTCGGGGCGTTTTCTCTGTTATATGTGCTGGTCCCTGCGCAGGACTTTCTTGGAATCTAAGACTAAAAAGTCTGAAGGAAACCCAGGCAGCCGGAGTAGCTGGTGACGGAGCCCTGGGACTTCCAGACAGGCATTGCCTTTCAGGGTGGGCGCGGGGCGTTCTTTTGGTTCTTACGCGAGCGGTGCACACGCAACAGTTAGTATCCTGTGCGATTCCACACACCGTGCACGCCTTGGACCCCTGTCACCTGGCTGAGGTGTGGCTCTTGGTCTCCAGAGTTAAGTGGCAAGAGCTTCCCTGGTAGTTCGTTGTTTGTCTGGCTTTGTAGTTTCATTTTTCTCATTTACGACTTTTGTATTCCCCCACTACT